GGCACCGGCTACCAATGCTAGTTCTGCCAGAGCACACGGAGGCCAGGTGAGCGCACAAGTGAGGAAGGAGGGAGGAGCAGCCACGGTAAGCTGCTCCGCCCACACATTCACAGGCAACGGTTGCCAGTGCTAGCTTTGCCAGTGCACATGGAGGCCAGATGAGCGTACAAGTGAGGGAGGAGGGTGGAGAAGCGACAGTAAGAAGCTCCGCCCAGCGGCAGCCATAGCTGCAATTGGAGAGAAAGTGGTGGTGCTGGGTCTGGGTGATCAGGGAGAAGGTCAGGGTACTTGCCTGGTGATGACCAATGAGCACACACGGGGTGGTCAGACACTGCAGCATTGCTTGGCGAGAAGTGGGCCGTGGACTGCACGCGAGTGAGAGCGAGCGAGCGAGCGAGCGCGCGCGCGCGCGCGCGAGAGAGAGAGAGAGAGAGAGAGAGAGAGAGAGAGAGAGAGAGAGAGNGAGAGAGAGAGAGAGAGAGAGAGAGAGAGAGAGAGAGAGAGAGAGAGAGAGAGAGAGAGAGAGAGAGAGAGAGAGAGAGAGAGAGAGCAGTGTGCTTTAGTAGTCTAGAGCAGTAGTAGTATAGGCAGTGCCTCCATAGCAGGCTGATACATCATTGTTGGTTTATTGTTTGGAGGCCGGAAGCGGGGCTTTCATATCAATTGACCTCAGTGTACATTGTGTTAATGCTTTGGTGAAGCACCTGCGTCGTCAATCGGGTTTACGTCGATCGCAGGAAAAAAATAATAAAGAAATTCCAAAATGCAAGAGTCAAAATCTATTCATGGATGATTAGCTGTTGACTTCGTGTCTTACTTGTTCTTATTTTTTCACGTGCCTGAAACTTTGTCTATGGCCTTCTTCGTATGTGCCATTTCTTTCTCTTGGTCTATCTCCTTCTCCTCCATCTCCTTCTCCACGCTTTGTGTATGGTTTTGCAATCGTTTCTTGTCCTTCCAATCTCACACACTGAGTCTCCCATTTTGCGTCTCCCTTCATGTCATGCAAGAGTCAACATATATTTATGGATGCAATTTTTTTTATTTTTTTTCATGTTGCAAGTTATGAGTTCTCATTCGACCGGTTCCTTGCAATTGTACTGTTTTCTGTTGTGGAACTTTTTTCAACTTGAGATTTTTGTGACATTAGGTTGGAGGAGAAATCATTAAGGAATGTGGTTGCGACAAGAATACCCTTGTCTCTGAAAGAGCGGGCGTTTCACGGGATTGAAGGATTTGATAAGATTTTTGCTGTAGCATGGATCTCCAGTACCGTGTTCGCCGTCGGGACTAAGGATAATAGGCTTGCTGTCTGGGATGCGATATCCAAGCGCCATGTACAGATTGAGCTGCCCCCTCCCGGCCGCCCCCGAAAGAGGCAGAATGAGAACTGTGGTATTCATTCCATGTATGTACTCAGTCACTCACGCCGTTTGTCAATTTGTGTCAGGTGACTCAGGTTTTTTGTTGGACAAATTGGGGACCGTTTTGGCTTTTTTTTTGGGGATAGATTGGACTCAATGGACTGTTTTGGCTTTTTGGGGGTAAATTAGATTGTTTTGCTAGGACTATTTTCATGCCGGCCGGGCACCCAGACATGCAAAAACTAAAGAAAATAATTTTTTTTTATTTGTTTTTTGGTTTTCTGTGCTCTCCCAGAGGACCCCAAATCCAGGCTCATTTCTTTTTTGCGAGTTGGCTTTTAAAGGGGGGGGAGGGGTGTATAGATTGGTTTTAAAGGGGCTAAAGGGGTTTAAAATGGGGTGCCTTAGTGTGATTATGTTATTTTCTTTTTTATCTTCGATTCCGTGAGGGATTCTAATGTGACGCTCAGCCAAAAGTCGTTTTTGTTTTTTTCAGAGTTTATTTTTTGTTTTTTCGCTCTGGGGCTGCCCGGAACCCTGCCCGGGGGTCATGCCCCGCCGGGCACCCGGGCAGTACCCAGGCATGAGTTGGGTGCCTGGGAGCCCGGAAAAACAGCCTATCTGTTTTGGAGGTTTTTTTGGATAAATATTAAATTGCGAGGATCTGGGTCCTCCGCAGGCCTAAGGGGCCCCTGCTGCAAATGTGCCCGCCCTAAGTGAAGGCAGGCCTAACAAATCACCAGAGGCCCTAAGCTGTCAAATTCGTATTTGGGGTCCAGGCAGTTTCGTCGCGCCAGTTGGCTGAAGGGAACACAGGCCGAGCAGCGAGGATAGGCCTTTCCAGAAAGCACAGGCCCTGGGCGAGATTCGCAGCCTCGTACACAGACAGTTAAGAGGCCCAACGGAATGAGGCCCAGTAGCTGCACCAAAGGCGCAGCATCCTTGGGCCTACCGGAAGCTTCTGGGCCCAGGCCAGTCCAGCCAGGCTGCCATACGAGGCAGACTCTTTCCATATAGGAAAGAGCTCGCTGCCTGGCGAGGCATTCAGGCACTCGCATGCTAGCGGCAGCGCTGCTGGAGCGGACGCTCGTGGGCTGCTGCTGGCGCTGAGAGGCGAGGTGCAAGTGCGTGCGGTCGTGCAAGAAGCAGGGCGCTGCTGAGGGCAGCGCCATAGCCCAGCCCCCATAGCTGGCTGAGGGCTTGGATATACAGTGAGGCGCAGGGGTGGTCTTCGTGTGTACAAAGGGAAGACGTGGGAGTAAGACGAGGGAGAGAGAGAGAGAGAAGGATGATGATGATGATGTGAGGGCACATACCTGGTATTAGCCATGGTCTGCATGGGCGACATCTTCAAGTACTTCGGAGGGTTCAAACACTCGGATGTTGACTTGATACTGTACACGGGCAAAGTGAGGTCTGGAAATCGAACCCTGGAAGCTGCATCTGCCTCTGCAAAGGTGAAAACCGTTTCAATTCTCTTTTGAAATTTAAATTCTTTTCAGTGACTACCGTCCCAGAAAAAACGTATGTACGTTGTATACGATATACAACGTACAGGGAATGTTGCATTCAAATACAACGTACGTACGTTATACGACGAGTTTTAGGGTACAACGTCGCAGGAGCCTGTAGTACCAGTGTTGGTTTTATTGTTTTCCTAAAATTTGGTTGGGAATTTTGCAGAGACCTGCAGGCAAAAGTTGTTCGCATTGCAATTTTGTACAGCATAGTCTTTTTTTGGATTTTTTTTTTTTTTTTAAGGCGAAATTCTGAAGAAATCAGAAAATAGAATGTCCCTGCTGCAAGAATATGAGCTAGAGCGAATGACAGAAATCCAAGTCGCATCATCACGTTGAAAACCCTATAGTTGTATGTCGCACAGAAAGCAGAATGCACCTAGAGCGGCCATTTAGGTTTAGTAATTTCCTTGGGGTGCCATTGTAAATAGCGGCTGGAGTGGACACCTCGTGTGATCGTTTGGGGTGTTGTGCTATCTTTGTTTTGTTTGTTTTGGTTATGTAACCAGGACTGTGTGAGCCTTGGGTTGGTTCAGATTACACCAAGGATTTTACCTTTGATGTACGGGACACCGGCCCCGGTTTCGGGCTTGTATAATTCAGTTACAACCTCTGTATAAACCTGGCTGGAGTGCCGGGATCAGACCGGAAAGGTTGCCTTTGGATTAAAAAAAAGAAGAAGAAGGAATGCACTAAGTACACGCCAAATGAAGAGCAAAGCAATGAACTCGATTGTCAATGTCAGACCCATGTCTCGCCACCATCAACAATGTATCCAATGCCACTCTTCCCTACTGGCGCCTTGAACCCATCTACAGGCTCACGGCACCGATGTAGCTCGTATGGTATATATAAGCTTGAAGAAAGCATAGCTAGACGACTGGCGGAAGAGGGATTCGAACCCCCGACATGCGAATTATGATTCCGCTGTTCTAACCTACTAAACTATTCTGCCTTGAACCACTTGACATTTCCCCTGTTGGGGTTTGTTTTTCAACGCTACCCCACCCCAAACAGTCAC